TAGCGTGATAACAATATTTTACCACCGTTTCGTGTATGATTAAATACAAACAGCAACTCGAGCAATAAATAATTTTTAAATTTGTTTTTTATTGATAACAACATCCGTGAGCGTTAACTTTTTTTAAAATATATAAATACCAACTTAAAAGCACGTGAGTTTTTTGATTTACCAAGATCCGGGCGCGTTTTATTTTTTTCTATTTTGCTATCGTTATCAAGTTAATACATCAGTATCTAGGCACTTGGAATTCGCCATTTGAAGAATAAAAATAATCGTCCTTAGATTTTTTGGACAGAAGCGGCTTATAAATGATACACAAAATATTTTAACCATTTTTAGAGATGTAAATGAAAATTTGAACTCAGATTTCGAACATAAGAATGCATTCGGAGTGTTTTATGTTCGAAAAAAATGACACTTTTCGTTTCTTTTATAAAGTTATATTCATAGTAAAAGCAATCAAACCGTCATTAAAACAAGGTATGATTTGACACAACTTCTGTAGATAAAATAATATTTTTTAGCTTTTAACTTTTTTGTTTAATAAGACACTATATTTGAATTCACTTAAGTTTCTTGGTGCTTTAAATTACCTGGTGGCGATTTTTACATAGTAATAAACCAGACAGAATCTTCACAGGTACTAGAAAACAAAGATGGAACTATAATTGTTCTATTCGTGCATTTACATACATTTACTCTAATTAATATTATCCTATCTACTTTGGTGATTATCCATACATTATAAAGGAATTTGACGGAAATTCACTCCGATCATATTTTAGAATATGTGTACTAGCATAAATGACAAGTAAAACAAAAAATAATAGAAAACTCGATTTGATAAGAACCTTGAAATAAATAAAAGACGTTAATGTTAACATTACGGGGTTTCTTTGAAATACTATAAAATTGCCGATGAAGTATAAAAACAAAGCCTATAAAAAGGACATTTTTATGATTTCAACAACAAATATGAAACTTGCGTGATTGTAAATTAAATTTATAACATAACTGCTATATCCCGGATAAGAGTAACTATGGGTCAAGAACACGTGACTGTTGACAAACTAAATATGCTTCATTTACAGGAATCTTTGCATTAATTTGTTCATGTGTGGTTGCTTACTGAATAAATTGCTTATGTTCAGACAGGCTGAAGTAAAGATGGACGTGAATTCATACAAAAACTATTAATTTCGACATATTATGTCTGTAAGCCGACATACATGTATTTATATTCATATAAAATATTAGTTTCATTTTTTTGTCACTTTGTAGTAATTTTCTTTTTTCCCCTAATAAATTCCCATCTGTTATACAATATTAGGATACGTTTTTGCAGCTTTGTGTAAATTTTAAGACATGCACAGACATGTGTGTTCGGACAAAACCATTTAATCTTTTAGTCATTCAAAATTCAAATTCAAGACATGCAAAGAGAGTTAACAGCAGTTTGTCAGCAGGCAATTTCAAACATAAAATATTTCTCAGGTTTGGTTTGAGCACCGTTTAAGACGGTGCTAGGGTATGAGGCATGTTGCTCTGTTCAACAAGTTCCTGCATCTTATTTTCCCTTTTTTTCCCTTTCAAGAATGTGGATGTTTATTTTAGTTATAAAAACATAATTTTTAGTGGTATGAGTTAACGTTAATTTAAAATAACAAAATGTGTCCAATGTTAAATTTGAATGACATACTGCTAATTTAAAGTGACGTTTATTAGAAAAATTTTGCTGTTCTGGCACCTCTGAATTGTTGACATAAAAAGTTGAAACATCAAACTTGATGTTATTGTATGCAGTGCTTTTACCGTTTAGTGTCACAATGTCATGCTTGTGTCAAACAAATTCTAATTATGTACAACATGCTTACACAAACTGAACAGAAAACGGGAAAAATGTTTACTTTTGTTATATACACAGGGATATTAAGTATATTACATAGATACTAAAATCGGCGCTAGGGGGTGTCTACAGTAGTTTGTTTTAATCACTGCCAGACATGAACAGAGCCATTTAATGTGTTTAAATGTTTTCTATGTGATGAAACCTTCAATTATTATTTCAATAGCACACAATCGGACCTTTTAAAGTCTAACGTTAACCAAAAAATCTTTGGACTACATGACATGCTAAATTAGATGCAATACAGAGTCCACGCTTCGTTTCACCGTTTCTTTGATTTTTGTAGATTTATTAATCAAGTTTTTGCTTTTTATTGAAAAGACTTAATATATCAATGAACCTTTGTTGCATTTCTATCTGATTGTTATGATGTGTATCATTTAACATATTACGCGATATACACGCCTTTTAACGCCTTTTTCATCCCCCCTTTTTCGTTGTCTCAAATGGTGAAAAAATTCCTTATTTAGGCCCCTAACACTTGTTTTTGTTTGAGAAATGTTGTTTATAAAAGTGACCACTTTTTCGGCGCGGCCCCCAACCGAAAGATACATCAGGGGGTTGCCAGAAAGGGGATGACCCCAGATCGATCAAAAGGTAACGTGTAACCAACGCTGAAAAGCATTTGACTCTATCTCAATCCATTGAGAAGTTGCGGCACTTTGAAATCAATTTTGATGGAAAAAATCAAGGCAAAATAGTTATTTTTGGCAATTTTGAGATGTCCCCTCGTTGCCATGGTAACAGGAAATTTAAGCCTGAGCATGTTGTTGCAAAGGCAATGGTCCAGTCAACATTTTAGCCAAGTTTGATTAGTATTAAAGCAGTTTTTATAGTTTTATAGCAATTTGAACTTGTAACTGGAGACTTTTCAATGAAAACAGTCATTTTTCACAAAATGCTCATGAAGTAATGGGTTAAATCAATTTCTTACAAACCTCATTTATTCTGTACTGCTATAATATATTTAGATGTGTAATTATTGAGTGAATTTTCAATCGTGAAAATTAAGGGAAAATGTATGGATCTTATTATTTCTAAAATGTAAGTTTAAGAAAAAGGTTTATCATATGAGTCAAAAAGGTGTACATTTCGTCATTCGAAGTTTCTTTGACTTTTATTCGTGTAAAATAAATGACTTAGTCAAATGTATCAACTGTTGAAGAAATTGACATTTTATGAACATACAAGTAGTAACAAAATTAAACTTATTAAAGGAAGCGGTGTTAAAGTGGTCAATGTATCTACCTCTTAAGCCAAGGATATTGAGCTAGACACAGCCAAAATTATCTTAAGGACACAAGGAAAAGTGGTAGAAAACAACTCTAAAGTCACTGTAATAAGATTTCGTTTGTGCGAACAAGCTGTTATGGGTAATCTAAAATAAACTATTGAAATCGTACCAGTGTGTTATTTATTTCAAAGTATAATTTAATGGTAAATTCATATTAAAAATAAGTCATGATCTCACCCAAATAGTATTTTTTTCCGGTCACTCGGATGTCACATAAAACATAAATATTTTTTTTTACTTCACATAAATCCATCTATCTTTGACACCTAGAGCAATGACCTCAAAATTCGCAACAATCTTATTTTGTATGATACAGTACAAGTATTTTATAAAGGCATTTAAAAAGAATAGTTCCTATAGTTCCTTGGTAAGTTGGGCAGAAAAAACTATTTGATTTACATTGAAATTGAAATGAACATCATAGATATTTTCGACCGTAACGGCGTGATAACCAGTGACACACTATGTGGAAGTTTTTAAATAGCTATTTTCTCTCACGAACAAAAGTATATGTAAACGTCGTTAACGAGAATATTCTCATATTGCTTGGATTTGTTGCATGTAAATGATGTGCCGCTGAAGTCATTTGAAGAGCAAATACACTAATTCCAACTTATCAGAATTTAATTGATTAGACCTACCTAAATCAAAATGGCGAACGAAAGTGTCGGCGACTTTTTACAATCGCCACGTACCGATACAACTTTGTCACACTGTATCCGATTATATTCAATTTTGAGCGATAAATAACTATTACAAACTTAATTTTTAATTTAAATTTTATCAAGTTATCATTATTATATGCAAAAAGAAGATAATACTTAAATAAAAGTTTATTGACCATTCATTCGACAGTTCTGTGAATGTGAACGAGAAAGTGAATAAAAATGTGCGTAATTGGTGACATTCAATAACTTAACGGACCCTATTGAACATGTTTGGGAGCCGCCATTTTGGCATTTTCTTAAATGATGACGTCGCATTGGAAAACACCCTACCTCAAACAAACTTGTATTTAAAATAGGTATTATGAAAACAGTAGGAAAATGGCAAAAGCGGCTTCGTCTGTATAATTTTACGATATTACTCGGAATTTGCCGATGTTTACCGATCCACTGGGGTTCATAATCGGCAACCGTTATACAATACAGCAATAGTAACACACTACCGGTGTAAATTTTAAAAACAAAAAAAAATATAAAAAAACAACAAAAAGACAACCTAGTTTATTCATAAAACGTCATCTTCAGTGACACGTTTTATCTCGTAATTAATTATAAATAAGCACGACTAGATTTTTGAATGGCAGCCAAGCTAATCTGAAGCGACTTAAATGGTCGCGTTTAGCATCATCTGTCCATTAAAAACATCCCCAATCATGCTTTCCATACTTTAAGGCCAAGACAAGCTAATTTTGTGTTTATTGGACATGAGCATTTATCATCAACAATTAGTTTATTTTATTGACCGTAACAATTAAAGACCCTGAATTCAAACGTTTAGGCATGAGATATACTACATGTATTATGAATAAAAATGCAAAGGTATTCTCAATGTCATGTCAATTGATAGCTTCTGGTGAATTTATATAGTTCTCAAATTTATTTATTGTTAGTTTCGCTTAAACCCCGACAGAATGAAGGTGAACAACATTCATTAAATTGCATGTGAACTTAACAGATACATTTTTACTCATCTGAAAGTAGTGTTATTTATCAATGCGCATGGTGACACTGAAAAATTAAAAAAGTCATAAATAAGAATGAATAATTACAAACAAATAATCTCATTTATTTTTACATAATATATTATTTTGTACAAGTTCATGTCGCATTTTTGTTCCGTCATCATATCATGTTTGGCATTAACTCGTAGCCAATCTCTTCTAAGAAGCACCAACTGCCTTTGTTGCAGATGACTTTAGTATCCATCAACATTTGTTTCGGGCTTTTGTGTAGAAATATTTTAAAAAACATTAAGCACATTGTCGATAATGTCTTGTTTACAAATAGCCACCACCAACTGCCTTCAGAAAGGATCCCTCTCTGAATATAAAGATATATTTTAAGACAATTGGCAAAATCTGTCAAAAAGTGAGATCTAACGCAATCTCCATCGTCAAATGTTTATGCGCCACGTCAGTAAATACGTTAAAATTTTCTACAAGCAACTTTGTCTGCTGATTCGCAGCCTCCTGTTTTCTCGTCAAACCATAAACCGTATGGACAGGACTGAATATATGGGCGGAAGTCAAAACAGTTTACGTATTTGCTGCAGTCTGTCGGATGCGGAAAGAGACCGTCTTTTTTGGGACAGTTTATATCCGAGTAGCAAGAAACGAATTCTTTGTAGTTGCACGACTGAGCGATAGGGTCGAATAACATTCCAATTGGACATGGCTCCTGAACTGGTCTTCTGAACAGACAATGATAGAAATATGCGCAGTTTTCAGGGTCTTGGAACAAGATTGATTTTGAAGAGCATTGGATTGGCTCTGGCTCTTTCCTTTGGTACAGCTCTGGAAAATAGATTAAATGACATAGCGTTTTACGTTAGGAATTAAATGTATGAAATTGACTGAAAGTCGTAAGACCATTATTTAAGTACTATATTAATAAGTTTTATATATATGCATGTTTGAAGTAAAGCTTTAGGTCACTGGGAGGAAACAGGGTTCAAAACTGATCGAACATGACTGGTTGAAGGATGAGTATTTTACGGAAAATTTGACAATTTAGACAAAAGTATACAAAATTAGGCTGCTACTTCATCTACCGCATTATTAACAATAAGAAGAATTTTGTATAATATAAAATTATCATTTTTTAGTAACGAAGAATGTTTTTAATGTTAAAATGAAAACATATATTAACAATGTATTGTATGGAATAGAAGTGAGTATTATATGATTGTAAAGTTATATTATTAGTTTCAAAGTTTAAATACATTTGACAGGTTATATGGCCATATATAAACGGTTATTTTGCAAACAACTATTTATAGACGGTCATATAGCCTGTCAAAACATTTATAACGAATTTATAATACAGCAAGCATCTTCTTTTAAGAGACAAAAGAGAGATTTCTTGATAAATTGACAGTAGCCGTGTATATAAAACTACATAAACGTCACGATTATTCAATGAAAAGCGACATTACAAACGTGCAGTTTTACGATTATGTGATAACTCACGTGGAAAACAGTTCAGTGCTGATACGTTGACGTTAGGGTCCATCTCCGAGCAAATGCTGCTTCCTAAGAAAGCCAAGACGCTTGGCAGGCCGTCAATAAAGCGTCCCATTGAGAAAGATTTACAGTAATCGGAACCAATTGCGGCAAATTCTGGTCCAGCTCTTCCTTTGCCGACAGCATAGACGACAACGCCGTCAGATTTAAGTTCTTCTGCTGCCGTTATTACAGATGGGCGCTCATTTTCCTGAACTCTGTTGTATGTGAAAAATACCCCAATCTTTTTAACACCATCTCTAGGCTTTGTCTGAGGCTGACCGGTTGGATTTTGAAACATGTAACGCATCATCCCCAAAGCGGAAGATACGTCATTTCCGCCGTTCAACTGATCAACGAAATTCAAACGCTGAGACATCAGTGTGATTCGCGTGTTCGTCTGCTTCGCTGACTTGAAAGGTTGTGGCCAGCTTATTGGTATGGGTGTCTTTCCATAAAGGATAAGGCCAATATTGACATTGTCATTGTCGAGGCGGAAGTAACTGACTAGATTTATAAGAAATCTCTCGAAAGGGAAGAACTCTTGCCCTGGTATAAGCTCTGAGGCAGGCACGGCTAAAATTATATCAGCTTTGCCCGGGCATTGACCTGCAAAACAAAAAAAATCACATGTTTTTAATGTAAGCAAATTTGTAATGTATGTTAGTCTAATCGTCTACATTTAATAAAATTAGGGTATATTTTGTATATCATAGTTTTCTTTTTTTTTTCGCGAATCCACTGATTATAATTTCAAGCTTATTAACAGGACCAGCTATGCAGCTTGTATTTTATTTTCATTCTTCGAACTATTGCTGCAAATGAATTATTAAATCAAATCTTGTCATGTAAATCGGCAATATGTTCAAATAAAAGTGATAGCTTATATATATAATAAGAATGTATCTTACATAATGCCGATATACAATAAATTTGATAAACAATTTGTCTATACATTTTATCAAACAATTACACATACCTGATACAAACGACAACATCCCCAACAAGGTGCACATTACCGTAAACAACATTGTTTTGTGATAGTTCTCCTGTAATTTATAATTTTATAATAAAATCAATTTGATGATGACGATAATGATAATGTTGTTGTAAATTATAAATATCATTTTTAATGAAAGTGATAATAATGATGATGTGGTTATTCTCTTTTTTTATGATAAGAATGTAGCAGTTGCAAAAGAAGAAGAAGAAGAAGACGAAATAGAAGGAGATAAAGAAAAAAGAAGGAGCAGAAGAAGAAGAAGACAAAAGAATTAGAAGAAAAAAAGAATACAAAAGGAAGAAGAGAAAAAGAAGAATGAGAAGAATAGAAGAAAAAAATATGATGACGTTTATTGAGATTGTAGAAGAAGATTATTACAGTAATCGTGAATGTAATAAAAATGTTCCTGATGTTTTTGTGATTTTCATTGATAACACATATACTTATAATGATGATGATGATAATGATAATGTTGTTGTCATTATTTTTGAGGATGGTGCTGATGACAATGGGTGTTGGTGAAATCGGAGGAGGTGATAATGATAATATTTATAATGAATTTGTTGCTGCTGATGATAATTACGATAATGATGAATGTAAAATAATTATATTTTGCGAATTGAACTTATGAGAATTAGTGAAATGAAATTAAGACGAAATAAATTAACTCTCAATCGTAAAGAACATATTTTTTTACGATCTGCAAGACAACGTTCTTAAATAAAAAGTTGCTCTTATCTTTATTACGTTAAAGGTCCATTTAGTTACAAGTGATATTATCTTAAAGGCACAGTATGCCTCAAATCGAATACATCTATGCTTCTTTATAAAGGGCAAACACGAACGTAATGACCTCTAAATAATGGTCTAAGAGTATGTTCGATGCATTAACGTATATAAATTTTGCTTTTTGCTAAAATTTCAAAAGTGGGAAACACAGAATGTCTTTTAAAGTTCTTTGACAAAAGGTTTACCATTCAAGGTAATTAAATTTTGATCTTTTTAGAACTAAAATAAAATTTTCCAGTTTTGATATGTATAAATTTAGATAAAGAACATTCATAAGAGAAATACTAGCAGTGTAAATTCTGCATTGCCTGTATTGATAAAAATAATGTTACAAAAGTTATACGTATTTTTTTTGAAGATAATCTTAAAAATATCGTCTTTAAAATATCTCTGTTTATCATGAACACATTAAAGTTTATACTATCAAAAACGAAATGAAACATATCATTAAAAAAACATTTCAATTTTCACACCGTGCATTAAAAATGTATAATTTGGCATTTATTTTTAATAAAAGTTTAGATTTAAATTCGAAACTAAAGGTTAAGTAATAAAAGGATCATCTAGGTACAAAATAGATCTGATTTATAGCCGGAAAAACTTCATCAAAACGTGTATAACAAACTTCTAATAACCTTTTACTTCCGCGCCATGCAAAATCAACATGGTGCGTTTGCGACCAGCATGGATCCAGACCAGCCTGCACATCCGCGCAGTCTGATCAGGATCCATGATGTTTGCTATCAGATTTTCTACTTGTAATAGGGTTTGTAAGCGCACAGCTTGGATCCTGATCACACTGCGCGGATGCGCAGGCTGGTCTGGATTCATGCTGGTCGCAAACGCACTGTGTTGGTTTTGTCATGGCGCCGCTCATTAATATGTTTTATAGAAGAAGGGGTCGGTTGATCAGAAATTTTGTAATTGGGTAATCTAATAATGAAACCAAGGAGCCAATTACAACACACTAATTTCGGTCGATTTTAGGTCTTTCGAACTAGAGAAGTATCAGAAAAAAGCGTCAAGCATTGTTTTATAAAAAATGTCACAACTAGGCACTTTTGAAGCTTCTAATGTTTATGCAATTAATAACTAGATGCAGTTTATTTGAGCTTCTATTTTTCTCTGATGCTAAACCAATTTCAAAATAAAACACTGCAAAATATCAAATATTTACGTATTGAAATTGAAAAAAACAACAGTAAAAAATAAGCACAAGGAAACAATATACTCAAATGCGGATTAATACATTAATGTTATTATTCAAAATATAATTTTACTTATTGTGTTTTTAATGCAACATCTAAACTGCTAGTAAACTCGTTTTGATTTACGTTGTACGAACTGTTATATTTGGTGGTTTAAGAGCACATTAATATGATATTTTGCCGATCTAACATTTAAACAATACACATCAAAAATACGAAATATTATAATTGTATAAACTTTAATAAAGTTTTTATATAAGAGTAATATAAATATTTTGAACATATATCGTACAGCATTTTTTATTTGTTTTATTCGGTTATATCTTTGTAACATTTATATATTTCTGATCCTTTGGTTCAAATATTTTCAGTGTCGATGGTTCAATTCCACACAAGCCGGTGCTAGTGGGCACAGAAGAAAAAGTTGCCCTTTTCAATACCACTTTTAACAAACCTAATTTTACAAAGTTTTTTTCATTTAGTTGGTTTTGGTTTCCATTGCTTTCAAGGGATATCGAGGGATATCATTTTTGCCCAAAGCTTTATTTCACAGCTTACAATATTATGTACAGTGACTATGTTTGTCGACATTTCACTTTCCCAAATTAATATCGCTGCCTTGCCAAATCTTTTAACGTAAACATAGCAAACATATCCCTATGCTTTATATTTTCGTTTGCTCGGTTAGAAACCAGTTTTTAAAACTATTTCAATTAGAATTAGTTTTGGACCACTGCAATATATTGGTAACATCCTACAAATATATGCTGTAAAAAGTCAAAGTCCTTCTAATTTAAGCAAGATATGTATCTCTAAATCCTTTATACGTTTAGAGATATAAAGATATTAAACCTACCTCTAAAGTTTAGTGATCTAATTCACAGAATTTAAAATTCCTTTCACAACATTATTTTTTTCTCCCTAGCTTCCATAAAGTTATATTCTTCACATATGAATAGCAGTTTTCTAAAATGAATTGCACTATTTCTGAAAGACTTTTATCAGTCGACAAGAATGCATGCACCAGTTTTTTATTGCCAAAAGATAAAAATAAATCTTCAAAAACGAATCCGGACAAAAAAATGCCGGAACCTTTATCTGAGTAAATGGCGCGTGTTGGAACGACAAGTGACGGGTTTTATCAAATTTACTGCATAAGATGTGCCATACACGTTTGTCAACTACTTAAAATGGCTGTCTTATGTGACGTTTTGACAGGTCCTCTATTGAAGATTTTTAGCGCGCAATATAATTTATTCTTTAAGTATGTAACATATATAAAAACGGCTATATGGAGCACGCAGCTTTTGTTTGAAATGCCAAAACATCATAAAGGATAAAATGTGGCTGACGCCAACATTGTTATCAAAACAAAACTACTATATCTGAAAAAGAGTTCTCTTGAATTCTAATGTCAATAATTTTTACATATGGAAATGTAAACCTTATTAAACTAAAACGTGTTTAAATACTATATACGGTGGTACAGGGCTGACACTTCTTTATTAATCTATTGACCATGGCATAATATCGCGTCCCCATGACATACTCATATAACAAATTTCAAACGAGATTTTAACGCATTCATAAAAAATGATAATCTTGTTCAAACCAGATATTATCCCGTTTCAACGAGCTAGATAATGTAATGCTCATGGCATCTCGGTGCCATCTTTACTATTGCCCTTTTTTGACCTCGTTTTGGAAGGTAGCTGAATTCACTTTTATTTCAAAAGGTGAAATTAACACCTTTTACTGCATTCTAAAATATCAAGTTGTTAAATGCTTTGAGAAAAACGCGATAAATCATTATGTATAAATCTTTAAAGCAGCAACCCATCAAATTTATGCTAATATTTCATGAAGTGTTATAAAAATTCATTACTGTCAAATGTAAAAAAGTAGTTTTAACACACCGAAGACACTAACTCCTTAAATGTGTAAAATTTAAAATAATTATAAATGTTGTCATATTTGTTTTCAATTTCATGATAAACGCTACCTGAATAATTTATATCCACCGTGACCCACATGAATATCTTTGGAAGCTGGCGATTATGTTCAATTTATAAAAAAGAGTGGGATAGTCTTTTTATATGTTTTTATACTTTTATCCTAAACATTTGTCAATATCAAGTATTGTTCAATCGCCATTGTTATAGTCAACCTTATGGGATATACAACTAATGCATCTCAGCATAATAATGAAAATACGAGCATAATGTCACTTTAAACTGTCCGGTCATTATCTCAAAATTTTAACTTTTTAAATTAAAATTTGTTGCCACGAATTAGAAAATGAGTTGTATGAGTTACAATAGTTGTAAAAGAATAAATTCATCAAAATTTGTACTGTTTGGTTTCGATATACATGTATTTTTAAAAACATTAGCAAGCGTTAATCGGCTCTTTGAAACATTAGTTATGAAAATACATCAGTAAATCTTCATTAAAAGTTTAACTATCAAATTCATGTACACAAAACACATAAAAGTTTTAATTTGCTATATGTTACTGTAAAAATAATCAATAAGAAATTGAATAATTTCTAAAGCTTACAATAGTTTAAACTACATTTTATTGATAGTTTAAGAAATAATTGAAACTTTTCACTTGCTAAATATTTATATTCTTATTTTAAAAAAAAAACAACAAAACATTTTAATTTCTAACTTATATATCTGAATAAAACAATAGGTAAATGTTACCATTTAAGAAAATACAATCCAGCAATTAAAACACTATATAATGCTAGTCATTATGCTTTTAATGCGACGTGAATTTGTAATTAAAATTCCCCAGTTATTAATATACGTTCGTATTCTAGTATAAGCTTAACTGTTTAATCTATAAGTATGTACATAAGTATTATAATACCACATACCGTTTGTCGGCTTCCAAGAAAGAAAAAAACGTTAGTCCGCGACGACTGTTTCACACGAAATGAGAGACTTCTTTATGCTTCTCTTAGTCAGTTATATATTATGTCACCTTTGGTCAACTGTTAATGTCCGATGACAATTGCTTTATCACCTTTTCTGTCCAATTAAGACTAATAATTACATATCATAGGGCAATAAAATATCATAACAAGACTGCCCATGCGCGCCGACTTGTCACATGTGTCAGAATATTGTACGACAGATCCAAATTATTTTTTAGGATTATGTTTTATTTTACTTATATATGTTTTACACACACAAAAAATAAAAAAAACCCATCAAACACCTAAGTGATATCAAAATTGTGTGATACTAAGTAAAATATTGTGTAATATTATATCGACAGTATTCCAATAATTACCGAATGACAAATACACAAAATAGCTGTAACATTCGGTTAATGAATTGTAGAGTACAAACAGTTTTCCAACTATTCAGCTGCATATTTGCATATTGTCTTTCCTTTTCTTTTAATTTCTATAAAATTCAAATATTAATTGGTTTCACTGCATCTTAAAAGAATAAATTTATAAATTTTAACGCAAAATCCGCAAGAACAAATTTATTTACTGTAAAGTTTATGCATAAAGCACACACAGGAGCAAAGTACATTGTAAAATAAAAGGAGCACATACAATTCAAAGTTATGAAATAGTTAATTCAGGCCCAAACCTTAAATACTTACACAGTCGTGAGACACGCCGTTAATAAAGACAACAAATTATTACCTGGGAGAGGACATTTTTAAGCTTTATAGCTTTCTGCCCAATCCCAAAATGTACTTTGTAAATATTGTTCACTTGTTAAATGTTTTGTTGAATAAATATGTTTAAACCAAATTATTACATAATCATATAAGGATATTAGAAATTTAGAGGATAAAGAGCTTCGAATGAATTTAATGTAATTGTGATGTGATTTTGACCACTTTCCTGTGAACAACTGTATATTTATTCACAACAAACAAAGTTTATGAAGCGTTATTTATGCAAATACCATTAAACGCTGTCCAAAATCTAAACAATTAAATTTGCGCAAATATCAAATTTATATATGCTTAACACTCGGTCATTAAACCAAAATACATTTTTTTTTACAATTTATTGCATGCATCATCTGTAACTGAGTTCAGTGAACACTAAGGGGAGCGATAGATGATAACGATAATCTTTTATAACTCATACTACACTATGAAATACAAAATATGCACAATTTCAATGCACATCTGTAATAATAATATCAATGCAATCTATGTAATTATTGAGTGAGAAGATGTGGTATCCACTGGCGAAAATCTTTGTTGCTATAAAACGTCAGTATTTAAAACCCTAATTAATGCTTTATAAACAATTTAACTTCTCAACTAGCAATAATCTTCCTCTACAGCTGTATTTCCTGTAGCAACATCACTGTCGTGTGTTGCTGTTATTGGACGAGAATTCCGGGACTCATCTTTCATATCCGTTCCAACAATTTAAATAACCAGGCCATCATATAAAGATGAGGAGAAGTCAGGCGCAACAAAGTCAAGCAATGCACTAACTTTACAAAACACTTATAACACTTCTTGAAAATTATTTTTCTCGTATACCATTCCGAATCGCAATGTACATAACCGTCCTTATGGAGCTCTGTTCTCAGTTAGTATTAGTTTGTTTTTTGCTGTCAAGGGATCTCTTCTGTTCAGATTTTATCGTTATTAATTTATTTACTAAAAGTGTATCAAAATAATTTAGTACTACGACTTCATGTAGTACGTATGAATACAGTTCAGTTTATTTTGGCTAAATCGGCTTGAGAAAATGCCTTTGGATATGACTTGAGCCAGTAACATTTAAATGATTAGTTCTAATTGTAAAATATGTCATTATAAACGTTTGAGTCCTCGTTTATAAATAAGAGACGACTCTTTGAGTAAACGATATAAAATACTAACCTTAAACGTCCATAGTCGTTTATAATAGGCATTGGATGTGCACGGATAAAAAACCATTATGCCTTTTTAGAAAACATAAAAAATAAAATAAAAAATAAACCAAATAAACAGTTTGAGACAGAGCGATGTTTTGCTGCCGATAGACTCACGTTTTGCAGATAAAAATGTTAAAACTGAATATGTTTTCAGCCTTTTTTGTTTACGAAATTATAATGAATTTCAAGTTTTGGCATTTTTTTGTGTATGATTTAATTTGACTATTTTCCTATCATCATAATTATATGCTAACGAAGCACTATAGTATGTAAGTATTGTCGTTGTAAAATATAGGTAAAATTGTCAATTATGAGTTATCATTTCACATACTTCACTATGACATTTATTAGTACTTATCAGTATAATATGCAAATGAGATGACATAGTTTATAATATTATATTTATTAATAATTAAGCAACCTTACTTGACACGGTTATTCCCGAATTAGCTCAGCCTCTCTCGCATGTTTATAATATTAGCCAATTGCTTCAAAGAAGATGATGGCACAATCATGTAACTACCTATTGTCAAGGATAAAGATACATTAGTAATGTGCTAACAATAAATCGAAACACATTTCAAGGAAGTTAGTACAGCAAATGAAATGAAAAAATGACAGATTAGTTGTTGCCCGTCAGAATATATTACCATTATTTTTACTTGATATGTATTACACTTTCTCAAGACATGATTACTTCATTTTCAAATTACTGCATTCCTTTGCATTTATTCTTTTGATAAATGTATAGCTTTTGTCATCTCCTACAATGACGGTAAACTGTTTTTCATAATTAAACTGATGTTTTTCTAGGTCACTGATGGGGTTAGCTTTATATTTAATTAAAATGTATATATCCTCTTTTTAAACACATTCTGGTCATTTCAGTAAAGATGATTGATAAAATATCTTAAATTTAAGAAAATAGGCTTAAAATATTCAACTCATCCACTATTATCACCCTAATGGTATGTTGCCTGTTTTTAAAACATGTCTTATGAGGTCTGTATAAGTAGGTAGGATTCCTAACTTCTGATTACCTTTAAAAATCCATTTGATATGATTGCGCACATTGTTTTCTTGATTAGGTCATGCGTTCTTTCAATTTGGGACTATATGCTGCTTTTCATGAAATAGCATGAAAGAGTCATACTTAAGGTTCAATAATCAGCTCCTTATGACCACATCTTCGAAATACCAAATTACATAATTGTCATGTATACATATTGAATATTGCTTAAGCC